GCAGGTGTGCGCACAGAGACATTCATCATTATATACACACACTCGAAGTCCTCGCGAGCATGCGCAGGTGTGCGCACAGAGGCATTCATCATTACACACGCTCCAAGTGCAAACGTGTGTGCGCAGGTGTCCGCACGGTGACATTCATCAGATACACATACGCCAAGTCCAAACATGCATGAAGACATTCATCATATGCACACACTCCAAGTCCAAACATGCATGCGCATACGAGAAAAAAGCATCGAATACAATCTAACTGCCTTCACCCTTGATCTTGCCGATAATGCTCAATCACTTCTACGTACCCTTTGAATTCTCCAGTGCCACTTCCATCTATCACTTCTAAATCCGCAACCGCTTGTTGGCGCAGGGGGTTGCGGGGGTCATTGATGGAGTACCAAATGGCCTTGGATGAAGACTCTCCGTCCTCGTCCTTGAATAAAGCGGTGCCGGATGAAATCAGCAACTCTTTTGCCGCTTTCTTTATATCTGTGCAGTTCTCGAACACCGAGGCTGAGGCTGTCACGGTCAGGGTACCTTCAAGCGCGCCATCTGTTCACACGTCAAGTGGAAGAAGGGAAAAGGGAAGGAGGTCAGTGGCAGACTCACATATTTTGAACTTCTCCGAAACGGTCACATTGCAAAAGCTGTTTCCACAGCTGTTACATGGAGGCGGAAGCGACGCACAGGATCCAGGAAGATCCTCATCGGTCAGGGAGTCGAGGCTGGTGACGACTGCGGTTCCCTTCAAGACCATCCCCTCCAGCTTTTCCGCAGCATTGAGCAGAGGGATGGCCGTGAAAAACAGGAAAAGGGGAAAACAAGGTGGATGACCCATTGTGATACTTGTTGCTCAAAGGCAAGATATAGAACCAGGCCTGACGATTTTGCTTTGGCTCGCCCGTTAGGCAAGAAGCGATCCGGTCGGTGTATGCTATTGTCTGTTGTTCTTTTGCCTGAGCTTCCAAGCGTCACGTGGCCTGAGGTACTGAAGCTAGGCAGGTCAGCTAGTGAGGTTGGAAGGGAGAGATTCCCTTTCGTGAAAGCGCTCACCGCGCCCATTGGCTTTGTCTACCTCTTTGGTGGCCCTCACGGACTCTGACTCTATGTGAATGATGGATGGAAGCGTACATGAGTTGATCGGAAGAGCCATCTTTCGGTGAGGCTTTTCCGGGGTCTTATCGCGCAAAGATCCATAACTGATTATGTCTTGACGTGTCCAAGCAGAACCGCATCAGAACAGCATCAGAAACACTTCTCGACCTTCACAGTGTCAACTGTTCAGCCTCGCGATATCAAAGTTCCTCCTGCCTAGTCGACAGATCTCCCCCTCGATTTACGAACAGGAATGGTTAGCTAGGAACACGCGACCATTCCAGTACTTCCTTGTCGCCATTGCAGTGGCGAATGGCGAAGTTGTCAGCACTTAGGAGGGACTTCAAGGTTACACGCATGAAGTCTTAGATTACGTCATCCTGAGACTCAGTGCACATCATCAGGCTCTTCCTGCACATCATGCTGCAACACACAAGAGGCGGACTGTACGATAGGGTGCGACGTCTGCCTGCTCACCACTTCCTCCTTTGTTTTCATGCAGTGTCATTGACAGACAAGGCAGCTGCAACGCTGTCCTTGAATGCTTCGACGTCCTCATTGCGGCCTGAAGAAAGAAACATTGTGTAAGAGTGTAAAGCTTACTGACAGACAGCCACGGAGGACCAGCGAGTTTCCCGAGGACTTCGTCAGCCGCGGGCCGTATAGGCCCCCGCTTCGGGGCTGTGAGGTGACTGGCTGGATCTGGATGCTGTGTATATTTTTTTATGTGTCTATTGTGGTGCATGTCTCACGCTCGTTTGCAGTGTGCGACATGCGTGTGCTTGCAGTCAATGAGCGTTGTTCATTGGTTTTGTATGGTTGTGCTCCCTCTTGCTTGCTTAGTACGAACTGATGCTTAGACGAACTTCGTCGCCCGTTCTATTTGTTTACTAAAGTACAAGCTCACTGAGACGTCATCCTTCTGAACATTTGTTTGCACAAAAGGTGGGACAGCATGGCTGACGCAACCACTTCCTAAAATATGTGGACAGCCTCCGCCTCTCACCCTTAAATGACGACTTTGTCCCTAAGGTGCGTCAAATTAGGTGACGAGGGCAAGAATACAATGTATAAAGAGACTCATAGTCTGTCCCTCGTTCATTTCTCTAAGATGAAATAGCTCAGGCCACACTCGTGGCGAGAGGCGTCCGAGAGCTATTGGAAGGATCGGCAAAGCGACTGGCGACTTTATTCGACCTGCTGTGTGTGGAGGCTCGCAAGAAGCTGCACGACTTCATTATGCCGCAAATCAGCCAAGTACAGAGATACAGTGAGACACGCTTGCGTAGATGCACTGTTCTCTCACTCTGTGTGTGCATTTCAAAGCTGCTGATATCTCTCGCTCGTTCTGGCGCCACAGCTCCCGTCCTTATTGATCGAATCGCCACACTCATTGCACGGACGAGAGAGATGCACACAATAGGAGAGACGTTCAAGGACACCAGGGGGAGGTCCTCATGCGCATCATGGGCAAGGCGATGAGCCTGGAGACCGGCTTCGACTTGGAAAGGGAGTGCGGGGAGGATCAGCTGTGTGCGGGCATAAAGGGGGGCATAGAGGCAGCGATTCATGCCGTGAGCGGCCTGTTCGATTGTGGTGAGGGCGAGGCGGAGTGTGTGCTGGCGGTCGACGCGAAGAACGCCTTCAACAACCTCAGCCGCCCTGCAGCGCTCTGGAATGCCCGGCAGCTGTGGCCACGTGCGTCCCGGTTCCTGTTCAACACCTATCAGGGCCACGCTGCGCTCTGCCTGGGGGGCGAGAAGGAGCCGCTGTGCAGCCAGGAGGGGACCACACAGGGTGATCCGATGGCCATGCTGATGTATGCCGCCGGCACCTTGCCACTCGTCCGCAGCCTCAAGGAGCCAGCAGAGCAGGGGCCACAGATGTGGTTCGCAGACGACTCGTCCAAGTGCAGCTCCCTCGAGCAGGCGAGGGAGTGGTGGGATAAGCTTGGAGAGAAGGGCTGCCGTACGGCTATTTTCCCACGGCAGGCAAGACCATCCTGGTGGTGCGGGAGGGGCTAGAGGAGAGGGCGCGGGAGGTGTTTGAGGGGGTGCAGGGGCTGACCATCACGACGGGCAGCCGGTACCTAGGCGGCTTCATCGGCACAACGGAGGGCCGCCTCGCGTATGTGCAGCAGAAGGTGGAGCGTTGGTAAGAGTGCATCAGGGATGTCGCACGTGCCGCGACCAAGCGCCCGCAGCAGGCCCACGCCGTCATGACCAAGTCGCTGCATCCCGAGTGCCCACGCGTGTGGATTGGCTTGAGGGAGGGAGGGAGTGTGGCATGCATGGCGTAGTATGTGGGTGCCGCGTGGCATGGCGTGGCATGGGTGTGGTCAGTTTCTGTCTTGTGTTTGTACGAGCCTAGTCTGACTGAATCTATCTGTGAGTTTGCTGAGTTTGTCTGTCTGCTGCCTGTGTGGCCCTGTCGCACACGTAGATAGGTAACCGACTTCTCTCTCTCTCTCTCTCTCTGTATCCTCTCTCTCTGACTTTCTGTCCGTGTTGGGGTGGGGTACTTTCTGTGGGGTGGGGTACTTTCTGTCTGTGTTGGGGTGGGGTGCGGTGCGGGGAAGCAATGTGACGTGGCGATCAATGGAAAGACATGCACGTATGTATACGTGTGGGTCGTTACACAAATCGTATGTCTGCATGCTCTGTGTGATGCGTTGGGGTGGGGTACTTTCTGTCTGTGTTGGGGTGGGGTACGGTGCGGGGGAGCAGTGTGACGTGGCGATCAATGGAAAGACATGCACGTATGTATACGTGTACGTCGTTACACATGCATGCTTACATGTGGCTGTAAGCGTCCGTCCCTTCCATCAATCGTATGTCTGCATGCTCTGTGTGATGCGCTGGCAGGTGGACGGTCTTTTTCACTCTGCATGTGGGGGGTGACACGGGGGGTTGTGAGTGTGTTGTGTTTGAGAGCCGACACCATGTAGGCGTTCATTCGGTCCTTGGCCTCTGAATGGGTGACGACTGAGTGGGTGATTGAT